TATCAAACTACTTTTAGTGCTAGTCAAATTTAGGTTGGAGAAAGTTCAACATGGATACTAATGGTTGGGACTTTTTTAAAAAAATTATTGTTATTTTTTATTCATTTTAATGAAAATTTACAGAGACTTTGGATTTCCATTCATTCGTTGTTGCACTTTTCTCCCTGCCCACCCCTCCCCCACAGTTCACACTTCTGTTTGAAAAGTAAAATTCTTTCATTGATTGTTTTATAATCCCTCCCCACATGTCCACTCCACTATACAGCCTTCTAGACTTCTGTCATGACAATAATACCTAGTCATATATCCTTTTTAAGCAGTTTTCTGCCTCATCTGTTTCGAAGCCATATACAGTATTTATCTCATCTTTCTCAGTCTCTCCCTCCCCCCACCCAACCCCAATTTCAGTACTGTTTTACAACAGTGGTACTATGTAGTATTTGTCCTTTTGTGACAGAGATCTTTTACTCAGCATAATGTCCTCCAGGGTCATGGCTTTATTCACAATAGCAAAGAGTTGGAAACAACCTAAGTGCCATCAACAAACGAATGGATATGCTGCATTGAGAAACAAGATTGGGACCTTTTGGATAAAAATTTTTCTTTGGAGAATGAATAGAATAAGGCCTCTATAGTGATGACAGAAGATAAATTTGAACTGTGGTGTGGACAAACAGTATTGAATATACGTTTTGTATACTGGATTGCCAGAACAGTGACAAATCAGTCTTAGAAGAACCACAACCAGAATATTCTTTAGATGTGAGGGTGGCAAGACAAGACTTAACTTGAACACGTCATTAGGAAGACCCGTTTCTGGAAAAGGACGTTTATATTTGGTAACCCTCCAATAAAGGGTCAGGAAAAATGAGGGGACCCCTCTTAGAAAGGAGTTGATAAAGAGATTGATGCAGCATTGACTCAAGCAAAATAATGATTATGCAGATCGTTCTGGACTGGGCAGCATTTCACACAGGCATATGTAAGGTTGCTGGTAAGTTGGAGCCAGGCCAATGGCACCTAATGGCAGTAATACCAGTAGTGATGACTGAAGCAATTTAATCTGAACCTGAACTTTAAAAACATGCAATTGTATTTCAATCAGTACTTTTGTTTGTGCTGCTGCTGTTGTTTTACACATGACTTTTTCCAAGAGATTTTCAATGTCCACACAGGTTGGGGTTATTTTTCCTGACTTCTATTTACTCTAGTACTGTTTCTGACGATAACATTATGGTGTCTTTAAATATTAATACTTAAAGTTGTTTTCACTTAATTGAGAAGATAAAATATGTTTTGTTTTTTCTCTCAATGTATTAAGAAATTAAATGAACAAGCCGCTGAACTGTTTGAATCTGGAGAGGATCGGGAAGTGAATAATGGTCTAATTATCATGAATGAGTTTATTGTCCCATTTTTGCCCTTATTACTGGTGGATGAGATGGAAGAGAAAGATATTCTTGCTGTGGAGGATATGAGAAATCGATGGTGTTCCTACCTTGGACAGGAAATGGAATGTAAGTTTATATAATGCTCGTGGGTACCTAAGTTATTGTAATTAAAAGCAATTAATATTAGATAACTATTTTTTACTGTTTTCTGTAATATTTTTATATTTACAGCATTAAATTATTTTACTTTACAAGTTCAGTTATGCACATTGCCATTTGTATTTTATCACTTCTCCAAAGAAAGCATTTTGAGATGTAACAACAGATCGTTCTAAGTTAGTGAATCTATTAAGGACAGTCATTCCTCTCTGTCTTTATCTTTAATTATATCTCTATGTTTATGTTTACAGCAAACCTCCAAGAAAAGCTGACAGATTTTCTACCTAAACTCCTTGATTGCTCTACAGAGATTAAAGGTTTTCACGAGCCTCCGAAGCTACCTTCCTATTCCACACATGAACTCTGTGAAAGATTTGCCCGAATAATGTTATCCCTCAGTCGAACTCCTGCTGACGGAAGATGAGCAGCACACACTTTCCCTAAGCACACTGTATAAACATTTTTTAGCTCTTAACCCTTGCCTTCCTATCACAGGGTATGCTTGTTGCTGCTATAGTTTTTAACTTTTTTATTTTAATAACCGCAAAAGACAAAATGACTATACAGACTTTAGCCAGACTGCAGTCAATAAAGCTGAGAATCGCATGGCGCTCAGACTTTCTTTTAACCAGAACCTATGTATAATTGCATATCTGATTGATTTTATCATGGCAAACCATGCTTTTGCCACCTGTTTCAGTATTACTTTGCTTTTATCTTTTCTTTATCAATAGCTTTCCACTCAGTGTTGGCCCTCCCTTGACTGCAGCCATTAAAGTGTTCAGCATTATGTACAATATATAATATTTGGTAGCTTGTAAAGGAAATTGAAGAATAAAGTTTTATTTATGGCTATCTATATGTTTGTAAGCAGGTATATTGTATGTTAGTGTATTACTGCTCTAATATATAAATTTTGTCTGGGGATTGATTAAGACTTGAGGATAAACAAATCTTTTAATTTTAGTCTAATGTTAACACATTGGACATTTACTAACTATTTGACACTTATATATATTTATATTTTTTACTGAGTTGAACTTACTATGGCACCTAAACATATTTTGAATGAAAATAATGTTTTCACTGAAGTGCTCAGCTGATTTTTAAGTCAAACCACACTGAAACTTTTAACCTTTTCTTAGATTAACCATTTATTTTTTTATGTATTTATAGCCAATAAAGCAAGGTGATTATTTCAAGATAAAAGAGAAAAAAGTACTTGAATAAGGGCTACTTAAATGTGTAACTTAAAAGATATATGTATATATAAATACAAACATACACAGACACACATATATTCTTCATAATGGAGAACAATGTTTTGCATTATATAATCATTCTATTTTTGTAAATTGTATACCACTTTAATTGAAAATGTTCTCTACTAATTAATGTGAAATGAAGTTGATATTGTTAAATTAGAAATTGTGAGTATCTTTCCTGCTTTATTTACCTAATTTTCAAAGAGGAAATATCTGTAGAATATTTTATAGATGAAATTGCTGTTTAAATGTAATGAATGATGTTGTGAATGCAAATCAGTGCTTTAAAGGTAAACATGTTACCAACACCTATTTTTGAATTTATAAAAATTTCTTTATAAATAATATTTTGTTAGCATAGTAAAATATTCATTATGCCATGTGTATGTTTGTTATAGCGACGCCAAAACGAGTGCTCTTTTTAAGAGCTCACATGATACTGGAAGCAGGAGGAAGAAAAAAAAATTAGACTATTATGGGACATTGGAAGCAGGAGTGGCATCCACTTCTGAAATAGCTTGCTCTGGAGACTATAAACTTGGAGAAATGATGAAAGTTATGCAAATGTTCAGGTGTTTCTTTCATAAAGTCGCTATGAGTCATCTGTGACAGGATGGCACTTAACAACAACAGCATTATGGGATACCTTACAAAGGTATCCATGTATGTTTAGATTACTAACAGAATAGATACTATAGTATATCTGTACTAGAGATTTTTCTTGCAAGGTTACAACTAATAAAATGTTTTTTTAGTTGAGGTTTTCAATTATCTACTAAGTAATATTCTGCAATGAGTTAAAAAAAATTTAACATAATGGTTTTTGTTTACTCTTCAGTATTTTATGACATTCAGTGGTAAAGTTGTATATGTTTATGTATATAATTTACCTCAGACACAAAATGTTCAAACTCAAAATGGAAATTACATCTTTCAAGTAACATATCCAAGGTATTTTATTTAATTTTGTGCTGCTGGTAATATGACCATATTTTAAACTTTATAGTTTAAAATCTCTGTTCCCAATGACTCTGCAGAAGTGACTCGTTTTCTAATAACTCCTAAAGCAATTATTTTATATCAGCTTATCTTAATTTGATCTTAAATTTTAAAACAAAACTTACCATCCAAACAAAGACCAACCGGGAATTTCAGTCGTCCAGGGAGAGTTGTGCCACCAGCCTTTATGCAGTTTCTTTTAATACACCATCTGTTTCTTGGGAGAAAGGTAACAATCTGATCTAAGGTCATTGAAATTTCCTTACATCATTTACTCACTTAAATATCATTTATAGCTACTAGTGGCATATTCTATAGAGAATTGCGCTGATAACCCAAAGATAGCACTTCTTAAACATTTCAGATCCATAGTAACTCCATAGGAAAAATGTAGACAGTATCCTCTTTTGTGATTTACAGCGTCAGAAACCCCTGGAGGGTCAGCTATGAGTCAGTTACAACTTGACCGCAATGAGGAGAATTTTGGATAATTTAAAAATTGGAATCCAAAGCAAATTACATTTTGACCTAAATGATGTTCACTTGAATTACTTTAATCATCATTTTCTACCTCCGAAAGTTAAGGTGTTTTTTTTTTTTTTTTTTAAAGTTAAGTTTTTAATTAATTCAGGAAGGATTTAAAACTTCCAGGAACTTCTTTTAATTTTCATTGTAATTTTAACAAAAATTTACAGAAAGCTTGGTTTTCCATTCACTCATTGTTGCACATTTTCCTCCCTCTCCCTCCTTTCCTCCTCCCCTAGGCCACTTTTCAGTGCACATCTTGTTGCAGATTATTATTGTCATACATGTAATGCCTAATCATATAGTCCTTTCAAACAGTTTTTCCTCTCGTTTTATCTAATGCAGTGTTTATTACCCATCCAGGAACTTCTTGTATATACAGAATTTTTGAAAACTGAGACATGAATGTACTGGTAAGGTAACGCTCACTCATTGACATTGAGTGGAACTATGTTCTAGCTGGACCCCTGGTGAATTTTCCGAGACTGCAGACTGCATGAGAGGTTACTCATCTTTATCCAGCAGAGCAGCTGTTAGATTAGAAATGTGTTCATTTGAGTTAATAGCACAGCTCCTTACCACTAGACCACTGTCTCCCTTGTTGTTAGGAGCTGTCGGGGTGAGTACAACTCATAGCAACCCTATGAACAAAAGATCTGAACCCTTTTCTATACTGTGCCATCCTCACACTTCCTAACACGTAAGAGACCATTGCAGCAGTCACCATGTCAATACATCTGTTTGAGAGTCTTCCTCTCTCTTCATGTATTCTCATGTCCGTCTCCAAGGAATAGCCCCTCCTGCCAACATGCCCAAAGTACATGTGGCAAAGCCTCACCATTCTTACCTCTAAAGAGCACTTTGGCTTCACCCTCTCCAAGACATACCTGTTTGTTCTTTGGTCATCCATTAGATGTTCAGTATTCTTCTCCATCTTTACAGCTCAAAGGCATCAATTATTCTGCAATCCTTATTAATTGTCCAGCTCTCAAATGCATAGCAAGTGATCAGAACGTTTATGGCCTGATTCAGACACACCGTAGTCCTCAAACTGAAATCATTACTGCTCAATAATTTGGAAAGATCCAAAGCTGACGATTTTCTCAGTGCAGTATATCTCCTTATTTCCTAAGTAGTACCAAGGGTGTTAATTGTGGACCCAAGCAAGATGAAGCTGTTGACAGTTTCAATATCCTCTTCATTCATCATGACGTTGCCTATCAATCCAGTGGTAATCTTTGTTTTGACATTGAGATGCAGTCCATACAGAAGACTGCATTCCTTGATCCTCGGCAACAAGTGCTTCAAGTCATCTTCAATTTAAGCAAGCAAGGTTCTGTAATCTGCAAAATGCAGGTTATTGATGAGTCTCTCTCCAATCCTGATGCCACACTCCTCTTCATCAAGTTCAACTTCTTATTTTCTCAGCATACAGATTAAATAAGTATGGAGAGAGAATACAACCCTGTTGCACACTCTTCTCAACAACAGCCTCCTGAGCCAGGTATACGTTCTGCATGAGTACAGTTAAGTGCTTTGAGACTCCCGTTCTTTTCAATGTCAGGCACAACTTGTTATGATCCACATAGTAAAATGTCTTTGCGTAGTCAATAAAGCACTAATAGATGTTCTTCTGGTATTCTTTCATCTCAGCCAGGATCCATCTCCTTCCTTACTATGTATAAATTATATCAAAATTTAGTATAGCATAGACTTAGAAAGTTAGGGTGTTGGTCTTCTTGTGTTTTTGTTTTGGGGTTTTTTTAAGAGGAAAGCATTACCCCATTGAGTCACTTCCAACTCACATCAACCCCAAATACTACAGTATAGAACTACTGTATAGTGGGTTTTCGGGTTTTTTCTGTAACCTTCACAAAAGTACGTTACTAGGCCAACTGGACTCACTGAGTAAGTTCAAACTGAGAACCACTCATACCATCAAAGGCCTTTTTTAGTTAAAAGTGTATCCATTATAGATTTTCAGCTTCCATTACTTAATATCTTTCAGTTAATTTCTATAGATAGAGGTTATTGAAAATCATCTTTTCCCTCTTAAATTAAGCCAAATCCTATACATGAGGAGTGTTGTTTGTGTTGAATTTATTTTGTTTGTTTGTTTGGTTGGTTGAATTTAACATTCTGCTTTGCTTTTTGTATTTACTAGTTTAGACATCAGTGGTTCTCCACCAAGAGTGTGCATCAAAAGCATTTGAAGATTGTTTTCATGGACTTTTGTCACCTTTTCCATGAATCCACAAGAACTGACTTAGCATGTTTGAACATAAACAGCTTCTGTCATTGAACATTTTGATCAAAAATTCTATAGAAGAATTTTAACCAACCCCAAATGGGGCAAAATGCTAACCAGAAATTAGAATTCTTAATCACTCCATACATTCTGGAGCCAGGGAAGTGGAATGAATTCCAGAAATTATCTTTCAATCTTAAACCAAAAATGTCATCTAATGTCTTTTGTAAAATCAAACTATGTAATAAAAAACATCTATCTTGAACATTCTGGTCTTTTAACAGTTATATGGAATTAAAGTGACGAGTAACTCAATATCAGATAGGAGCTTTAGGACATTGAGCTTATGTCAGTATGAAAGGAACATTTTAGAAAAGAGAAAGCACGATTTAAGGAGTGTACTCAATGTCAACAAATTTTACAAGTAGAAATGATTGCATTAATGTGATTACATATGTATATTTTCAGTAACAAGAAAACATCTGGAATTTGTTTTTAAGTCTTGATTCTGGCACAGGATCAGACAAGATTCAGATCCATTTTTCATAGGTTCATTACTCAATTTGATGGCACCCAACAACAATTCTATAGTGTATTCCTAAAACATTTTAAAGTTGAAAACTTGTTTGAGAATTTTTGCTCTCCAACATTAATTTGAGAATCACCTCTAGTTCTTCCCCAAGAGATTGCTGGTAGAGGGATTTAACTTTTTATTATTGTATATCACATGAAATAATGGAAGACAAATTTATTTATATGCTTTGTAGGGCAAACCCATTTCTCTAACCCATACATAACAGCTGTTTCTCAGTTCTGAA